CGGGCGCCCGGGCTGTCCCCAGGGCACGGCCGCTGTCCCGTGGTAGCGGGTCTCCACGCCCACCGGGTAACCTGAGACGCCGAGGGCACAGCAGTTTTCATGCCTTTAATTAAATCGGAAGGAATTACAAATGGCGTTGTGCGTTTACAGGAAGCAAACTCGCTTCACCCAACTAAACTGAGGGGGTAACAACGTGAGGAATAAAGAGGGTGCTTGCAGGCGGACTGGTGTTTCTGGGGGAAGACGGATGATGTGTCCCAAACTGGGCTGCAACGGCCCCCAACTTTATGCAGCATTTGTGCCAGATAAGCAAAGTTAAGTGCTGCGTTTAGCATCCAAGACAAAAGGACCAGCCTTCGATACTCATCGGCCCGTGCTACGTTTCAAAAAAAGTAGGAAAACTTAAGCAGAGTTGAGATTACACATCAGTTTGGCAAAAGGTGTAAATGTCAGCCAACATGGCAATGCGTAGTAAAACCATCCACCAGCATGGCCATGTGTAGTAAATGTCCCCAAAATGCATTGTCAAACATAAAATAAATGCAGCAGACCTTTCTGACTGAAAACTATTACTATACAAAATCTATGTTGCAGTTATCAAATCGATTAAAAGCTAGTTTATAGATGTAAACAATTAATTGTAAAAAGTTTACAATATTTTGCGCACAGGCACACATTTTTAGTCCGGTATTCCTCAATGTACTAATGCTGTGGAATAAAATGCGAAATGGCCGGTAAAGGTAGTAGATGGTGACTTGAGGAGTGAGCACGTGATGAGGGTTATCTAGATCACACTGTGCACTATAATCTTTTTATCTCTTTATCTAAGGAAATGAGGCTTAAGCGACTCCAGTATTGGGTGTTTCCTTTTCCATTCATCCTTTCTACCTCCAAGGACTTTTGAACATTCTGGCCTACTTAATCAGATTTGCAAATATGTACGAATCTTGGAAGGTTAAATACGTACAACTTTGGGGGGAGGGGGGGGAAGCACAGTTACACATGAGAGAAAGAAGGCAAAGCACGGGTGTTATGCAGCTGGCCAGCCAGGACGTGGTTGCATTTACAGCTCTGGCTTTGGGCTTGTGCAGTTCTTGCACAGAGAATGTATGATAGCATGTAAGGGAGCGGGTGAGACCTTGGGTTACTGCTGGAGGTAGAATTAGGCACCGAAGACACAAACCCTCAAGAAACAATGTTCGGTGAAGTTTGTTGCTTACAGAGAAGCTTGTTAATATGAGCAGTTCCAAGGTACTATTTCCAGGCCTAAAGCATGAAATCATACAGAATTGTGGTTATTCTGGCAGCAATTCATGCCTGAGTTATAATAGGGGATTAATGGTCCCACCTGTTACACCTTCCTTCTGCTGGAAGTTACCACTCCCATCTGGTAGAAATAACAAGAGAGAACATGTCTGTTCCTCATTGTCTAGGACTTCAGAATATAAACATATGCTGAATTTCACGGTGGTTTGAGTTAATATTCAGTTTGTGAACTACAGTGTCTCCAGAGCAGATATGCTGCCAATTTTGCTGACTTTGCTTCATGGGCAATAACTTCTTCTAGGAGAGAGGGACAGAGAGCGAGGGACAGTGATCTGCATCCAGCCTGAATTGCCAGACCTTGGGAGGCAAGATGAGCAGCCAGTTTGTGGCAGTGAAGTACAATACTACAAGAGAAAGTGCCTGTTAATGGGATTAAAATACTGATTTTTTTTTCATGGACAAGTTTAAGGGTCATTTTCTACAAGAATTTACACAGAGAGATTTCTGAGGGTGGATTCTTCATTAATGTAACAGAAAAAGACATCATGAGATCCAATGAGTGGAAGGTAGACAAGTTCAGGCCAGAGCAAAGGTTTGACTCTCAAAGCTATCAAACCATTGGAACAATTTCCCTGGAGGTGTGTTTGTTTAGCCATCACTTGAAGTGAATACGTGAAGTATTTAAATCAAAACTAAGAACATAAATTAAAAATGGCTGCGCTGAGTCAGATCAGAGGCCCTTCTGGCCCAATGTTGTGTTTCTAGAAGTGGCAAGGAGAAAGGGAGCTCAATAGACAATGAGATGGGGATGCCAGCAGGTGTTTGACTCATTTCCATTCCCTCTGGGATGTTATGACAGGTCACCTCTTTTTCGTAGAATACCACATCTTCTTCCCAAAGTTGACGAGTCTTAACCTAGTGTGTCCTTGGAGAAAAGCCATTCCAAAACTTGGTATCCATCTTTAAGTCTTTTTAACTTATACAGTATATTTTAAGCAGAAGTTTTAGTCTGTGACTGAATCAATGACTGCCCTGTTCTATATAGAAGATCACATTGGTGATGCCTCTGGTTTCTGTTAGCCCTGAAATTATTGAGCAAAATTTGGTTGCAGCAAAGTTGATAATAATAAAAAAAAATAATCATTGACTTCCATGGATTATTGCATTCTCTAATCCTGAATCCCAAGCAGTGACTTGAAACTGTTTAACATGCTGGTGCCCTATCAGCATGGCCATGTTTCAGAGATGTTAGGAAGAAAAATAAGGAGAAAAAGCATCAGAGAAGTAACTGAAGTACAGCATTTGCCGTGTCTCTACCATATCAAGCATAACATTGCACGTCCATTTCTGGGGAAATCTGGCTTTCCTGAAGATTCTGCTGCAGGTAACAAACCAACTGGTTATCTTTCTGTCACATTTACAGGAGAAATCCATCATCAGCAATTTACTTGATGATTAGCGAGGTTTTGCCTTCAACAAAATCCATCAGCTGAGTACCATCCATCAGCTTCTATGTAAGCATCACACTATATAAATAAGTACATAAATAATAAAGATGTATATATTCACTGAGGCATGGAGACTGTTTAATAGAAAAAGAACCAGCATGTTCCTCAGAAATGCGAGTGCGTAGACAAGGTACTCTTGAGTGCGTACTCTAAGGTTGAAATTATTTTTTTTTTAAAAAAGGGAAAAAAAGTAGTATGGCTGTATTTGCAGCAGTGTATATCACAGAATATTTACACTGAAGATTAGATTAATTCACGCCATTTGATGATCTAACAAAGTACTTAGGCAAAAAAGCTGAAGGGAGAATAAAAGTAAACAGAAGTTGGAGAGATTTCTTCAGTGCACAGGAAATATGTCTTAATCCTTTTGGTTCTCGTTATGATTGATTCCTGCCTGTGAGGTGGTTTTGTTCATGAAGAAGGCTTTAAAACACATATCACAGCACCAAGATGTCGCTGTCAGTATCCAGGGGAGTGGTGGGAAAGGAGATGACTAATGTTACCCCTATGTGTGACACATCATCACCTGAGAATTTGAGTGTTTATGTGATCACTGCTTCACCTGCATATTTCAATTTTTTTTTGTTTTTGCTATGTACTTCAGCATTTTTTTCAGCCATTAGAGAAATATGTGCAAAAAGCGTAGCCCTTTTAAAATGAAAAGAATGTAGCTTGCAAGCCCTTGTGATGGAAGGTGTAGCATGGCAACGAGTATTAAGCAAACCTAAGACATTGCAAATACTGAAGTGGTAAAAGTTTTTTTTCTCCTTTTACTGAAATATATTGTAATTCTTCACAGTTATCACCAGGTGGCAATATCATGACCTTAAAAGTCTCGTTTTTCTGAAGTGGAAAACAGTTAGCCTTGAGGAAGTGATGTATCCCTGTGCTGCAATCGCTCCAGGAAACAGTTAGATTACAGTCCCCAGCAAGGTTCAGATTTCCGTCTAACTTTGTCTTTTGTGACAGAGCTGTAGCCAGTATTGAAAATATTAAACGTAAAGCCTCAGGATTTCCATTTAAATTGTATCGTTTAACTGTCCTTTTTTTTTTTTTTCTCTTTGTTTAAAAAAACCTTGGGTTGTCAAGAATTCACGATGAAGAGCCTTTTTTTGTCTCTCTTACTTGTCTCTGTTCTGTTTATGAACAGCTTCTCAGAAATGCAGGGAAGGAAATGGAAAGGTGAAGGTACAACGCAAAACCTGGAAGCTATTGTCATTGGAAGATGCTATGACTATATTAGAATTCTGAATCCTTCTGTTGGGTAAGTTTTTGCTCATTTATGGATTAGTTTTTTATGTTCTGTACAAAATGGTTATTAATCAGAAGCCTGATGTTTTGCTCCTAGCCATGAAAGTGATCCTGTTGAAGCCAACGTGCTTGTAGCTGCTGGAAACAAAAAAATGAAATTTGTTGGATGTCATATTAATAAAAGTAGTGTAATTAAGGCAAGATTTTTAATCCTTCAACTTTTTATTTCACATTTCTCCCCCGCTAGTGCCAGAGTGTTCTGTAAGGAGAACACTGCACAGAAATGGTGGGGATGGGATTTCTGAAGTTCCAAATCTGACAGTGCTCCTGGGAAGACCGGCTTTACTTTGCATGCCTTGTGTGTCAGGTCATGTAAGAGGGCAAGCACCACACTTTATAGCTATCCTGTGGTAGTGAAAGAGACTCTAACTCATCCACCTGAATAACCAAGTAGTAATCAACTGCTGAAGTATGATTACCCATGAGATTTCATTGCCTGTGTTAATTACACAGAACTGCCGGTAAGTCACACACTAAAATAACCACTTTTTCTGTCTTCCTTACACTGGGCTTCAGTAAAAAGTAAAAAAACTAAGGAGTTCAGTCTCCTGGAGTTCAGTCCTTTATTCTGCCACTAAAATTTTTGCTGATAGTTTGAAGAGGTATTTGCAGAGGGGGTCTGTCTGGGTTCCTGCAGCATTGAGTCATGGCCTTAATGGGATTAGATTACGTTGCATAGTATCAGCAAGTATCACCTCCTTCCCCCAACCTCCCCTTTTCAGTTCCTGCTGCAAAACAGGAAGATACAGGACTGAAAACAGGTTCATGGTTTTTAACAAAGGCAAAACAATATGTTTCTTCCTATGAACATTCTTAACTTATCAGAAGCGTTTTGGTTCAGTTTCCCCATGAAAGAAACAATCATCCTAATGCCAATAACACGGTACTAAAATTTCAGCTGAACACTTCAAGTTTGGCAAATTTATAAACACGTCACAGTGGAAGGTGCCAGTAGACTTTAACTATAGATTTCTACGCACCTACAATATAATAGATAATATGAACTATGAAAACTTAAGTCAGTTAGTAGTTGTGTAGATATATGAAGTCTGGTCTTGGCAGTAGGCTCTAGATAAGCAGAGTTCCTGTTGAGAGTTGACAGATGTCACTTCCTTTATATCTGAAGCAGCACATGACTAATAATACAGAATACACTAAAATGAGCAACATAAAAGATTGTTATTGTGGAAATGTTAACTTTATCATTAACTGATTCAGGCTTTCAGACACGTAAATACAATACTCTTGAAACTATTTCTGTATATCTCATGTTTATGACAGTTTTGTGGTCTAATTAATTCCTGTGACATTTTCACAATATAAATTTAAAATTGAGAAGTCTGAATGCATTCATCAATGGATTCTTACTCAGAATAGCATGAAGCCAGGCTGGACATTAGGACTGCTTTCCTGAGTTAAGGCGCAAAATGGCATTACAAAAAGAAGGGCTGCAAAATTGTGTGGTTGTTTTTTTTCCCTTAGGTCTATAAGTAAATAGTATAATCTAAACAAAATGGAGATGTCATATTGCACAGGTGCAAAACAGATATTCTAATTATTTTTACCCCTTTCTGTTCATTGTCTGTTTCTTAATTGCCCCCAGGCTAGCTTTTACAGAGGCATAGCCACCTGGATAGGTTTTGCTTCTGAATTTATGTGCAAATAGAATAGCTTTTAAAAAATACTTTGCTAACAGAAAAGAAGCTAGCAAAGCATGTCTTTACACTGCAACACAGTTAAAACATAGATGTTTGTAGAAACTTAAGAAAAACTTTCCTTTACGTTAAAACGGAACATGCAAAATGGCAGTTAAAAGGGCATTTTACAAAATGTTATGGTTACGTAGAAGTGAGGGATTTGAATGAAAATCATATTTGAAATTTTCTAGTAGGACTATGCTATATAACACAAATGTTCCTGGAGTCCATTTCCCCCATATTTCTTTATTGGTAGCATATAATGGAAGTTTTGAATACATATTTCTTTAACTGACTAGTATGAAATAAATCTAATATGACTTATTAGTGTCTATTAAGATTGGAAAAAACCATCCTGAACAATCCTTCCCCACCCTGTAGTTTCAAAAAGTATTTTTGCCAGCTAAGAAATTTTGAGTAACAGAGCAGAATAATCCATTTGATTTACAAGCTGTTCAAACCTGGATGAGAAGATACGAAGAAAAAAAATGCAGGAAGTGAATTAACCAGAAAATTACTGCTGGATTCCACTGTCAAGAAAGATGTTAAGAGTTCAGTTGATCATAATTTGCAAGTACTAGCATGAATAAGTGAGGGCTTACAGTAGACAGCTCTAGCAGAATGAGACATAAGTATATATAATTGTCAGAAGCTAAAGTTTAACAGCTTGAAATCAGAAATAGGGTGCAAATCCTTTTATCAGGTAAGGCTATTTAAACATTGGAACTACTGATCAAGGGTCATGTTGCATCACTGAAGATTTTCAAATCAAGTTCCCATATTTGCTTAAGATATATTGGGAGCTTTTTATATAGTTTTTGGAAGCATGACCAGAGATTACTGTAAGAGAATCTGTGGTCTTTTTCCTGCATGGGAACTGCACAGCTCATCACAAGGTGTCCTTTAACTTTCAAGTATCTGCAACATTCAGCATCACAAAGCAGCTCCTTAAAGAATCTTACGAGGAGAAGCGCCAGCAGAAACCCCACTGCCTATGGATGACATCAAATGAGGAAAACACTAACGGCAAAGTTTGATTTACTGGATCGGGACTACTGATGTTCAAGCTGCAGCTTTGCAATTAAAGCTGTTCACGTTAGAAATGATGTATGCGCATTATTCTCTTCTGCAGAGTGTTCCCAGCATAGACATTGTCACAGCTTATGTGGGGAAAGTACTGTGGGAAAGTGGTGAAAGTAGCAATTCCCTTTTTAATTACTCCAGGCAGGCTCAGAGCTGGGACAGATGAGATCCTGCAAATCCAGAGAAATAAAACACTTCTGTCCCTAGATGGCCTGGCCTGGCCTTCCGCGGGAGATTATTGTCCCCAAGACAGAGCTGGCAGAAGGGAACTGTCGAAGTGCACAGCCTAACATCTTATTTCAGGCCCCCTTACACAAGCAGTTTAAATATTGAATCCTAGCAGTATTCTTGTAGCTACTGCACAGTGACAGTACATGTCCCACATGATCACTGTACTCATTCCAGCAAGGTAAAGCTGCATAATCCTATGGCCTATATAAAAAGAAGACATCTTTTTGTCAAAATCATTATTCTGCCATCAAAACTTTGTAGTAACTCCTCCTGCACTTGAATCTGATATTTTAAGAGTAATTTTAGATTTCAGTAGCTTTGCACATTTAGCTACGCTTTAATTTAAATGGCTTTTTGAATCTGGAAAATTTCAAAGAAAGCTGTTTTCTTTAGTATTCGACAATGCTGGATAGCAAGCTCACTGTGTATACTGTACCTTCTATTGGTGAATTACTATGTATTTCTAGTTCCACACTGTAAACCCTAATATTTTAATTGCTACTTCTTGCTGCTGTTAGGAGTCAGGAAAAGACAAGATGCTCTTCCCAGGTGGCATGTTTTCTACCACTTGGACTTCAATTTTCTATCTTAACCTTGTGGGGGTTTTAATTTGGGAATTTGAAGAAGTTGGGAACAAATTACTTTCTTGCTCTGCTTTGAAAAAAACCAATTTTTCTGTTTGTTTGTTTCAATGATTACAGTGAGAAGAATTGTTCAGAGATATGGGAAGCATTTAAAAATGCATTTATTAACAAGGATCCTTGCAGCATTCTACCTAAGGACTATGAATTATTTATCAACCTGTCATTGCACACAATTCCACCTAACAAGGTAATGATTAATACTACGTTAACAGTCCTGTGACATCCAGCAGGTTTTCCATGCAACAGTTCAAAAGTGACCACGAGTCATTCTGTGGCTGACTCATGATTCATTATTTTTGGCCTTTCTGCAGTTCACAAACTAGGCTCAAGCTTGACAGCATTTTTCAGTGTGTTTGGCTGCATTTATTTTATGCAGTAACTTCTCAGCAACTTCTCTATTTTCATACTGCAAAGATCCCCCATTTTTCCTGCTGTGCTGAAAGCTCTGTTGTAGTCCCTGAACTTCCACTTCTACTTTTCCTCAGGTTAGGTGGTCTGCCTGCAAAGACTGTGCCTGCTATCATTTTTGCTTCCACTCCTCTCACAGCCAAGTCTCAGGGCAATAACATCTTAAACACTGACATGTTAAACAAGCATAAACAGAAATGAGATAGTACACTGTTATATGCTAGAAAACAGTAAGGGTTTGATGTGCTGGCAATTGCAGAGAACAAAGCAACGGCTCTTCATGCCATCGTATCCCATCAGAACGTGGGCTTTGACCTTGTCTGAAAGGTTGTGCTTTAAACCAGTTTTTCCTTTAGCACAATTATTCCTCATCTCTAAATGACACAAGCTAAACCAACAAATACTCCCATCAACATAGCTTAATTCATTAAAGGGTTTGCAAACAGAAATAACAGCTAGACGTATGATTTTTTCACACCATAAGTCAACGCAGCAGTGTGAGAGAATTCTGGTGAGATACATGTGGCTTATAAATGTCTGTCTTCCCTTTTTTCCCCTTTTCCTAAATCTGTCTGCTGAGGAAGGCTAAGCTAGGCCTAACTATATTTAATAGAGGTCTATATCCATTCCCATCATGGTTATGAATGCTCCTCAAGCCTCTAGTGATCAGAATTTATACCACTGTAAAAAAAAATAAATTTTTTCCTCTAAAGAGATAGCTGTCATTTCTGGTTATTACCTTGCTTTTTGAAAGAAATACCAAAACATGATTTAAACTGTTTTCAACACCCCATAATCTCATTGTGTCCACACCCAAGTGATGGTTGATTTCTTCTCTCTTTTTTTTCCTTTCTTTACATAGTCTCTCTTCTGGGAAAATAATGAGCTGCTAGTGAGTAGTTTTGCTGACAGAGGCCGTCGCTACATGTCTGTGAGTTATACTCTGTTTGGCTTCATTGGAGATCTTCTAAACTGGTGTGGGCAAGCAAACAGCAATGGTAAGACAATGAGTGCTACATTAAACATCTGTCTGTAAAAACATAATGGAGACCAACTGCTGTGTTCTGGAGGAGCTAAGTTTGCTTTTACCCCATGAAAAATCAGGGATAGTTTCACTGGTTTGTTCTCTCCTGTTTTGTGTGAGTATTTAACACTGCAGTCAGGGGAGCACACAGTGAAATCTAACCAGTGCTCCACAGAAGATAAACCTCCTTCTCAGTTCTCTGAACATGGAGCTCTCTGCATCCCAGGAACAGAGCGCGCCCTTTCAGCCAACTCATTGAATCCACAGAATATCACTGTTTGTGTAAACTGCAAAGGGTGGAAAATGGTAGAAAAAAAATACAACTGTCAGCTTTCAGTGTTATGTGAGACCGTCTTGTATATTCAGTGAATAATATGTGAATATATTTAATTGCTTTCTAAGGTCATTATCATCTCTCTAATAGCAGAAATCACATGCCTTCCTACAGGACTGGACTATGAATCCTGCCCTACCACGGAGGAATGTGAAAACAATGCGGTGGAATCTTTCTGGAGGATGGCCTCAGCCACTGTAAATACTGCGTTAGTGCTGAGTTCATACGTTAGTGAGTGTGTCCTGGGTGGTTTCAGGAAAATGGATCAAAACAGATTCAAGTCTGTAACTGTGCTAGATTATTTCCTCTGATACAAATACACTTTTTTTAGACTGGGTACAGTGTTTTAGCAGAGGAACCTAACTTTCACCTAGCTAGAAAATTCTGTGTTAGCTTTGTTAATATACATTAAGCATAAACTAAGCACAATAAGCACACTAGTTGTCTACTGAATACAGGTCCTAAGTGACATTTGACAGCCTTGGTGGAAACCCTTTATTCACAGATCAAACCCAACACAGATTGCCAAAATGCTTTCTTCCTATGCTGAAGAAACTCTTTATAGGTGTGAGAAAATAGTTTGAGAAGATGCATTGAATTAACGCACTGGCTATTTATTTCTTGTATTCTCTATTGCAGTAACATGCTAGGGTGCTAGTTTGGTATTATTTTAACAATTCTGATATTCTTCTTGGTAAAATTCTTTCTTTGGTTGTTGTTGCTTGCAATATAGTATCAAGTCATATGACAAATATGTAAAGATGAGTTCTAAAAAAAAAAAAAAATTATGTATTGCAGTATGCACAGCACAGTTCTGGGGTGATACATGTCTTGCTGAATGGTTCTGCAGTCAAAGGAGCTTATCCAGACCCAGGGTAAGACAACTGACTTATTTATGTGTACAAGTTCTGATGCCTGCAAAAGAAGGGTCAACCAGTTGTTTGGGTCTTCTGCTGCAGAAAGCATGGGAAGTGTTGCATCAAAGTTTGCCGAGTTGTGGGGACAACTGTTAATTGTCCCCGGCTGTAGGAATTAGCATGAAATGGATGGAAATAACCCTTTTGACTCCTGCATTTTACAAACTGCTGTGGCAAGCAGGATAAATGCTCTTTGAAAGCAGCCTTCAAGTCAGCCAAAATACTGTGGCAAAATGTGTATGTCTTCAAAAGATGAGCGTTACAAACTTTCTGTTCAGGGACATCTCCAAGGAGAGGACATTGTTACAAGGAGTGTAGCCTCTGTCAGGCCTAGGAACAAACTTGGTGAGTTCTGTAGGGAACCTGCTATTTCTCCATGACCAAGAGAGGAGGTAGTTTGAGATCCATTACGGTTTAAGAAAGCAAAAAGGCTCATTGAGAAGGATAATAGCAAGGATTAGCTGCTGCTTCTCCTTATTCCCTCATATATTAAAGATAGACGTATTTTCCCTGATTTACAGGTGTACCACTATGCAGAAGTTCATCTAAGCTTATGTTTAAAATTTATTGTAAAAGTACACCCTTAAGAACTTTTAGTGACTATGTGGCTGTAGTGACTGCCTACCTTTGATGAAAAATACAACTTTCCTTACCTCAGCAACTGTCCTGTCCAAGGCAGATAAAATCTTTTAAAACCCATAGAACAGATCCTCCTCCTGTGTGCTCACTGAGGACTAAAATTATCATTGAAAAGTTAATTTTATCTCCAGATAGGAGAGAAACAAGAACCATCTGTTCCAAAAGACCTATTACCTACTTACCTCCATCCCCCAAAAGGTCCATCTCTGTACACAGCTTTCAGCTAATCTAGAAGACTTACATGGTCTGCTTCGGTTGGTCAGGTCGTCAGCAGGGATGACCACCTGCAGATGATAATACCTGGCAGCCTGTCAGTGCCCAGAATCCAGTTTCCTTATTTCAGAAACAGTTTCCTTATTTCTGTTAATTTACAAGTTCCTTATTTCAGACACCTCTTACACATAAATTAATTCCACCAGTTCCCTGGGTTGCCTGTCTGGAGGTATCATGACCAGTGAAATCCTCACCACTGGAGCCTGCCAAGAAAAAAAACAAAGCCAGTTACTCCATCTGTGTTCTTTCCTGTCTATCTTCTGGTTCATTTATGACTGAGTTTGTTTAAGGGATCTTGTTTGAAAGAGGCTTGGAGTTAAATAATTAATTGCAGAAGGTAATCTGAAAGATACAGCTGTCTTCCTAAGCATTTCTCTGGTCTGTTTTTAAGCATTTCAAAGCCACTTCCAAAGTTTATCTTGTGTTACAGTTTGTAAACTTAAATCATCATTAGGTCACCTGTTACCATTTCAGTTAAGATTTATTTCTCACTTCAGTGCAAAATAACTTTGCTCATTCACACTGTATGAATGTCGTTGGCAGACTTCTTTAATAATATTAGTTGGTTCAAAAATTGGTTTACTGAAGTAAATTGTACATTGTTCCTCCAGAGTTTCTGACTCCTCTGGTTAAAGATGCCTTTATATTTTGGAGGAAGCTGCATTTTTGCTGGCAATAACATATGCATGAATGAGCAAATGAGTTAAAAATAACTGGAATCTTTATTTTTGGTTATATTTTCACTATGTATTTAAGACAGGCGTGGACACCTTGGACAGACAGGCAAACCTGCTGTTGCTGCTACTGGTCTCTGGATAACCACTGCCGAACCAGACTTGACCAGAGAAGGCAACTGTTGGTATCTGCTTCCTCATGTTCCACTTCTCCAGAAGTTTAAATTAACTTGTTAACTTCATGAGCAGGTCTCGTCTGGCTGCCAACAGACACTGACAGCCACCACACATCTTTGTGCTTCCATGCCAGAGCACCAGTAATTTGCCTGCAGGCAGCAGGAGGACAGAGCAGTGGTCACGTTGCCACTGCTGGTCTCATCCAGGAGGTGACAGCTAACAGTCCCTTCTAGTCTGAGGGGTCTCAGAGCATTTAAAGTGGCTAAGAGACACTGCAGCCCAGATGTAGACATTTAATAAGACCCATGATAGGCATATTAGAGCACACCTAGGCTCAGGCTTGGACCAAGCATTCACTGCAGACACAGCCCTCAGAAGCTTTCTAAGGAGGAAGAAAAAGCAACTAAAAGGTTGGAAATCATTACAGTACATCCTGCTAGGTTAGAAATCTGTGGCTTTGAAATGTCTGCATCTCACAAAAAATTAATTGTACAGACATTAAAATAATTCTTTGGATTTGGCATCTTTAGATGGGAGAAATTCTTCACTGTGGGGGTGGTGAGGCACTGGAACAGGTTGCCCAGAGAAGCTGTGGATGCCCCCTCCCTGGAAGTGTTCAAGGCCAGGTTGGATGGGGCTTTGGGCAACCTGGTCTAGTGGAGGGTGTCCCTGTCCATGGCAGGGCAATTGGGACTAGATGATCTTTGAGGTCCCTTCCAACCCAAGCCATTCTATGGTTCTATGATTTAGTTGCCATTTTATTATTTTATTCTAATTGTTATTTAAATACCTATCAAAGTCAATTTACACAAAGCAATAAAGTGGAAGATTCTCTCAGCTAGGGATGAACATTTCAAGAAGTTCCTCCCTTATGGTGTTATATATCCTAGACATATCCTTCATGTTTGTGCTGCTGTGATTTTGTACCTAAAAATATATTTGTTTTGTGGATGTTAATATTTTTTTATTTAAAGCAGAATTGTATTGTGTCTAAAAGCAGTAACTACAAGAATGACCTTTTTACTTTGTTTTACTAAGTATCAAATGCTTTTTGTTTTGTTTTTGCATTTTTTAAAGTTCATTTCATTCTGGTTCACCTGTAAGTTGTAACTTCTTTTCAGCTGAGCCCCTCTAAGATGAAGAATATGAAAACAAAACTTCAGATTAAATGCCTTTGACTTTTGAGGACATTCAGAATGTGAATTAGATTTTTTCTACTCTTTGTTGAGTCTGATTGTAATCAGAAGACATAAATGTAAAATCAAGCAAGCCCCTATCCTACAGCAGGATTAGAGCGTTCATTAATGCAAAGGGAAAAAAGATTATTTATTTTTCATATTGTTTATAGTTCTAAAAAATTGTTTCTTTAATCAGATTTTTTGCAGATTATGAAATACCTAATCTCCAGAAAGACAAAATCTCACAAATTGTCATCTGGGTTGTGGATGATATTGAAGGACCAGATAGGTAAGTTACGTCTTCCAAAAAAAGAATTTCTCCTTTTTGGACCTGTCTTTAAAATTTCACCTTAGCTTTATGTTTGATTATATTTGCATATCAGTTAAACTAAAAATATTTTAGATGCTTTCACTAACACAGAAGGCACATCCTGCCATTCCCAAAGAGTATAGAAATATCAGAATTAGACAAAATAAAAATAAATTCTAATACTGGGTCTGGAGTCCACTCTTGGTTAGATGTGCGTGTGGATATCAGACCTTGAGTGAAGATACAGCACGTACAGTTTTAATAAGACAGAGTCAATCTGAATTTCAGATTAAATGCTGATGTGAAATATTTCTTTAGCCTTGCCATATGCATTCTTTTAATTTTCATCTATCTTAACTGTTTGAAAATTAGTAGAAGGAGGGAAATACCACCAGGGGGCTTGTTTTCTCTCAATACTTACAGTCAGTCCAATAATAAAATGTAGGCTTTAAAAAGGTCTAATTTTGCTGTTAATTTAATAAAACAAATTAACAAAACAAAACAGATCAGTCCAAACAGAGTAACTTGTTGGTAAATAGCCAAAGACCAAGTGACAATTTTCAGCAGAAACGTACCGGAAAATGGACTCTGAATTTAAAAACCTGAAATCATTAGGCCAGAAATTAGGCCTGGTTTGGGTTTGATTAAAGGAAGAATTAAAAAGTCTATTTGTTACAGCTTTTGTGGAGGTTCCTACAAATGTACATGGATGAATCGGGGGTAGAGGAACAGAGGAAGTCAGTTTTTACCCCAACCATCTGCAGGGTCCCTGCAGTTTAATATAACGTGGTGGCACTTCATTGGTCTTAAAACTGCCCTGGCTGGAGAGAGACAGCAAAATGGACTCAGGTGTCACCATATCCACCACTGGTGGCTGAACCCCTGGTGTCATCTGCATTCTTAGGAGCATGAGGCTTCTGTTCTTGCTACTCAACGCTTTTTAGTTGCATCCATTCATTTTGGTGTCATTTCCCTTTCACGTCTCATCTCTTCTCTTTCCTACCTCTTCTTGCTTCTCTTTCATTCAATTTTGGCATGGCCAATCCACATATTTTACCACTGTGGAGTCTGCGAAGCATAGTTCAGATTAGCGTTTCTCAGCCTTTCTTTTTAAATCAAAGAATCATATCCCTTTGGGGAAAAAACTCATACAGCTCACTTTTGCAAAAGTAACCCTTACTTCGAAGAAAAAGTAAGACAAGCACTGAATGTTAATTTATCTTTCAGTTAATGGATACATGGGAATATTTGTGTATTTTTATTAATTGCTTTTTACAATGATTTTGTTGATCCTCGTATGATTTCTTTAGTCATGAGTATTTACTGACCAGCAGGTAAGTAGCACTGGCCTTAATACTTGACACTGGTGCAAGTTTTAGAGGTCTCAGTAAGTTCTGTACTATGCTAAACTTTCTTTTGCTAGTTGGACCACAAATTAAAAAAAATCAGTGCTAGACACAGAAGCTGCTTTGAGGATTGTTTCTGGGTTTTTTTCTCTCCCCTTGTGTTTTTCTATTGTTCTGTATTCAAGAGAGAGGACAAGTTTCTAACAACAAGAATAATTCTAATTTATTATATCAAACTACTTCTGTAAAGACAGCTAGCATCTACTTTAGCACCACCTAAATAGCTGCCAAAGAATTTTACAAATGAAACACTGTTTTACGAAGTTATTTAGCTCTTTTTCTGTTTGTCTAGTGAAATATTAAAGGTGGGAATATTGGTTAATAGCATCTGCAAAAGCTACACTGGCTGAAGCCAATCTTCCAGTCTCTGCAAATCGAGTATAAATTATTAAATGACTGTAAGGAAATGAAGCATTATAAGTAGCAATGTACACCAGTTTTCTATAGGTGTTAAGGAATACAGAAGAGGCAAAGTAATGGGGATTTACTTTACTAATTCCATCAAGTTCAGTGAAAGGAAATTAGATAATAAAAGACTTGCAATAATATTAAAATCCTTTCTCACAGAGAGTCCTGTGGAATTCATACTGTAAAGATACTAGAAAACAGGCTGAAAACCCTTGGTTATGATGTCACCTGCACTGACAATTACAAGTAAGTGAAAATGCTTCATTAATATGGTGTATTTGCAGAAGCACCTCGTCTATTTTAAATGATTTCTTACTTTCCAATACTTAAGTGCCATTAATGTGTCTTCGGTAAGAGGCTGATATGTTGGAGGGGTGATGTCATATTTTTCAGATACAGTATTTTTCGACTGAATTGAGCAAACCACTACACTGTATTGTATAATTGTATAATTAAGTGGAACATTGTACTTACCCAATGTCAGACACAGAAGATGGTCACATGTATTCAACTTCACTGTAAAATCTTTGTTTGGATTGAAAATCTAAACAACAGTTAAAAACACTATTGAATGTCTGCAGAATTAGTAGTTACTCACAGTAGTGTTCACAGTTCTAGTAATTCACAGTAGATTGTAAGATAAATATAATTGAAGGGAAGCTTTAGACATGATAATACTGTTGAGTTTGTTTCATTTTTTCATTTATTTTCCTCAGTTTTCTGCCTGAAAGATGCTAAATAAAATTGTATCTTCACAGGTCTGTAATGTTCTTACTCTGCCTGGATTATCCTGACAATTCTAAGTGTACCCTTCCATCGTAAGTAAAAGAAGTTCAATCCATCCTCAGTGTCATTACAACCAAATAAATAATGCCGAAATCAACAGTTCAACAGATTCCACCTCTATCATCTATTATATATCACCTATACGCAATGTACAGTATTCTTGAATGCATTACTTACTGTATATTGAGTAAGCAGTTTCTATCTACAAATTGTGCACAATTGTCTGTGAGCAACTGCTATTCAAAATTAGGTGTTAATCAGTTCTCATCAATCACACAATCACACTGTATTTCACTGATGGTATGAATGAAGTTTGTAAATATCAGTGTTCTGATGCAAAAACTACTACAAATTTGGAATTGCTTTCATTAATGTTTTTCTTTGATTAATGAAAATGTAGGTCAAATGGCAACAGATCTAAAGGACATTTCTCCAGCTACTGGAACTGTCAGTTCCAAATTTTGAGGAAGTTTTTTTTTTAATCTTCCATTTTGTGTGCAAACCAAATTTCTATATTTTAATGTATTTACCTTGGGCCACTAGGTTATCTGCAGAGAATGCAGATTACATCCAAGATACAACTTTCTTAATTAGCAAGCATCACTCTCAAAGTAGGCTTTAATAGTTTCCCTTTCTATCCATATTTTTCTTTGTTATATAAAGAGGATTAAATTAATTTATGATGTATTGCAGTGAATTTACAGTAAATATGACTTTTCAATTGTGGCTAAGTTTCTTAATCTATATGCTGCTGCACGTATAGGTACACATAAGGTACTTGAACATCTGAATATGAAAACTTCCTCACAGTTTGGAAAATTGCAGGATACGTAGATGCATAAAAGTTGTTCTCGAGTTACATTATTTTTATGCATAATCCATACATTTGGCCATGTCCTATCTCCTACTGTCCTTTCTGCCCTAATTCAAGCATCTGCAAATCTTTTGTATGTTAATACCTACGTAATACTGCAATGATAACTTCTGCCATGAAAAACTTGATTTGCTGTCCCTGGTTATGGCAGCAGGGAGGTGCAACTCTGGCTTGCCTGCCTCTGGTTGTGTGGCAGTAGTGCTTCACGCAGGACGGAAAAGGAGGTGTATATCACTTTCTGCAGCATACGTTCAGTTTTTAATACACCCTTACAGAGAAAGTAAGTATTCTCTGTTCCAAAACATTTACTCATCTTGTCAGGCGACAACATTTATTCTTACTTCCAAATTGTAGCCCAGCACCAACTTACAAATGTGAGATGAAAACAGGGGCATTTTAGATATGACAGATACCTCTGGACTCCTTCTAGGTAGTAGATCATAGAACAGGCTTCCAGGCCTGTTAAGGCATTTATTTGTTACTAGGTGTCACTTGCATGGTGGATTAAAATAGGGTTTCCTTATTCTGCCAGTGGATGGTGAGGTTTTTGTTCATGTGTCAAAGGAAAATACAGCCGTCCCATGCAAAATCACAGCTGTGAAGGTGGTGACAACATTAACAAACTGGAGGAAAAAGCACTTTACAGGATTTTAAAAAAATATAATATTGTGAACTCTTAACAGAAGATTTTTCTCTTCTCCCAGGTTTTAAACCATTTCCCTCAAAGTTTTGTGATGTGGGTACATTCCTCAGCTGAGGAAATGTGGATGAAAAGGCTTTTGGAAACAATTAATGTCTTTTTCTTTCACCTAAGGGATGGCCATACCAGTTCTCCAGTATTACCACATAGCGCTTGCAGTATGTAAGCAGCCACCCCTTCCTTTCCATCCATGTCGGTACTTAAATTAACGTAATCACAAGCATATTCTAAGCACCACTCTCATACTCTTCTGGGGTAACTACTAAGCAACTCAGCTGTTATCATCCTCCTTAGGAAAAGTTTCCTTGCTTCATTCCTTCCTGAGCCTTATATTCCCTCCTGTATGCATGGCAATATAATAGCCTTGATTCACTTCATATCTACGCTATCCCTAATTAAGACAGAGCTTCCCAATCTGAATGCTAACTATCATTGCCTCGCCCTGAAATTTAAATCGCTAAAATATTTCAAGCCAATGAAGCTTGAATGAAGCTCATCCTGAAATTACTTACTTCTCTGATAAATAACATCTCCATTGACATTACCTGCCTTTTCAGAAAGAGCCTTAAGCAGATGTATATAAATTATTTGATGATTATCTTCTAGATCTGTTTTCTCTGTGGATGGATCCCCGCTCTCTGATGGTCCATTAACTGACATGGGAACAGTTTGGTCAGTAGTGGTATCGCTATTAAGAGCGTGTATCTGTTAAGAAAAGGCTTCATTTGCATAGGCTGTGCTCACTGTACACACATTATATTTTCATTCTTCTGTAATAAATAGTGAGACTAGGCATGCAGGCTCTGTTCCGTCCCCTTTCACAATGGCTATTTGCTGTTAGAAGACCGATAGCTGGCTTCTCAGCCTCCAGAGAATAATGTCCAGAACCTAAAAACATCAGACTTGTGCAAGTGACTTTTTTTGTCACCGCAGCTCCTGTTACATCAGCATACCAAAGCAGAGGGCAGTGTCAGGATAGCAGAGGGATGGCTTGAAGGTGCTGTAATGTACTTGGGGCTTCTTGGGTAGTGATAGTGCCCCTTAACTCCTCTCCAGACTATGTTCCTGCCGAGTCAGAATTTCGACTTTGCCTCGTTAAATCGACACCCTGTTTGAAGAAAACTTGCAAGTAAAAAAATACCCACTAGATGGCATAGATGGCTTACAAACATAAGCAGAAAGGAAACCCGATGCAACCTATTAGTAGTGGTATTTATTACTTGCATTACTGCAATGTCACGGAGACTTAGAAATGGATCTGGATACTGTTGTATGAGGTGCTGTAGACCTCTAGGACCACTGCTGTCTGGAAGAGCTCTATACAATCTCAAGCATAAGGCCAGAGACAGTGAATGGATGTGGAGAGACAAGGAGGCTCAGGTATTAAGGTAGAAAGGAGTGTTCCCAGGGTTTTGCACACAGATAGCCTGTTTATAAAATCATGACAGCCAAAGGGAATCTGGTGGCAAGCTCTTATAAAGAAACTTCTAGCTTAGCACTTGGACTGCAAACTTCATCCTCGGCAACAAACCCCTGGTATTTAAAAGAATCCTAAGTCAGCTCTGTGCTGTGAACATCCTGTTTGTTTTCTTTTCCTTAGATCTGCACCAGCAGCACAAAGAGGACCTGTATCTTCAGACAGAGGAGGCAGCTGGAACAAGCTCATGTTTGTTTCTTTTCTAAGCTTTTTGTTCAGATTTGCTTTAGTGTACTAAGTTAATCAACTGAATCCATATCCTGTGTTTGCCTTAGCTGGCTATAAACTTGATTTTAACTAATTTCTAACTGCAATTTCACCCTAGTTCTGGGACTGGCAAACTTGCATATTAAAACTCTGCATACTTCTATCTAGATACCAACTACTTTTAGTATCAAAAATTATTCTACTGCTTCTAGAAAGCCTCATCCTTCATTTCCTTTTCTTGAATAGAAGAAATCCATTGCTTTTTCCTCTTATCCTTATTCTCCAGAATTAAACTGAGAGTAATAATTGCTGTTCACCTATTTCAGAAAGAAAAGTGAAATTATGCCTGTCATATATGTCCCACACAGCTTACTTGTTCATAAAAACAATCCTAGCATTGGGCCTTGGAAACTAAGTGCCTGAGTATCATGTTTTGGGAAGGGGAAATATGAATTCCGATCAAAGCGAGCTTAGATTGCTCACTTGGTACAAGATACAATAGGTGAGACAGTGGAAAAATTAAACTTATTTTCATAAGTGGACCAGTACTTGGGCCAAACTTACCTAAAACTATTGTACAGCAAGATTCTGGCTTGCATACTTACTTACAGCATTTTACCACGTACTGATTGCTTCATCATCTGCACAGCTACTCCTCAGCTGGCTGTTTCCTGGCCACTGGATAGCCAAGAGTCAGGAATATCAGGTCTAGAAAGCTCCATGGGTTTTCCACCATGATGTGATGGTTGATCACCATGATGTGATTTGTGGCATATCAAATTCAGACAAGAACCTGCCAAGTCAGACATCTGCCTGCTTGCAGATGCTTCAGAATATATTGAAGAGAGAGCAGATGCCATCTTGAAGGTCTCTTGAGTTACTTCTGTGAATTTTCTAACTGGTCTAGCTAGATGCTCTTTGAAACCACCAAGACATCCAGCTACCAAGATGACACTTAAATCTTTGGAAAAAAATAGTTCTTCCAGAAAATAAATTTAAGTAGAATTTTGTTGCATTCTTTATTAGCTTCTGTATTATTTATTTGTGTTTGTATTATCTGGTTGTCAGGAAACTGGAATAGGATGTTCCTGTTATATCACTGCGTCTGATTAAGGACTCCATAGTACATTTATGTACTTTCAGTCCCTGGTACAACTATATCACGTTGTATATTTGAAAATATCTAATATATGTTGTTGTTGCTTATTTGTCTGGGTTCCATTCCTGTAATAATCTTTAATTTGATTTTAATGCAAATCCCTTTACATTACACACATAGTTGTGTTTGCCTGTGTCACAGCTGGGTGTAGGCTCCAGCTTGAAGGATTTTTGTGTCTGTTTCAGACATTTGCAAAAAGTACTGAAATCAGAAATTACAGACATTTTAAAATCTAGGCTGTATTACACCTCAAAATTGTTCCCTACCTAAGCTGAAACATTAGTCCTTTGATTAGTTCCTTCAATGTCCTCCTCATTTTTATTGCTTGTTTGATGCTGTCCTGAACAGCAGCTGCCAGAATACGAGAGGTCTCTGTTTGTAACACAGACACAGCTCAGATAACTAAACCCAAGCAGTTTTGATCAGCCTTCTGTTTGCACACAGCAGGTCACATCATGGCACACTGTGGACCGCAGGCTGTAGAGATGCATATGAGGCTCACAGATGATAGGTGTGCAAGCCATCGTTTGGTCTAGTGTTGGCCTACCCGCTGACCTTTATATTATAGTGTGTCCCAGATTCAGATAATAGCTTAAGACCGTTAAGAAGCCGTATGCCTCTTAGGCAACTGCTATCCACAAGCCAAGCATCCCAGCTGGACATCCCAGCCTGTAAAAGCTTTCCAGCCTCCACTCCAGCAGCACAGTCAGTACTGGCCGTTACGTATGATACCAAACACACTGTAGGAAGTGCTAAATAATTCTGTTTTGAAAAAAAAGTAAAATGCAAAGTAGGATAGATACGATTCAAATAATTTGAGGTTTTTTACTGCATAAACTTATATCAAGAACAACACACTCAGAAACTTCTTGTAATGTTTTCTTATTTCTAGTGTTCTTAGCTCTTTTCCCATTACTTCAACTTGGTAGCAAAGACAGCTTTTCCCCCCCCCCCCAATATCTGTTGAATAAAGTCTCTCAAACTTGCTGGAAAAGCTTGGAAAGACCTGTAAAGATTTTTAGCTAACCAACTAGTATAGCTGGGAAAAAAAGGCAAAGTTTTAGATACGTAGGCTTCCTGAGATCTTAAAGGCAGCAAATTTCAAGCTGAGTGTCATTGGTTGCTCTGAGTTTAATATAGTGGGTTTAGTCCGTGTGAAAGAACTTTGTGACTGGCATCTCAGAAGCGGAGGGGCAGAAGAAGTGTCAGCAAAGCAAGAAACAGTAATGTCATTTGTTATTCCTGGAGGGAGGGAGAGACGTGAACAAAAAATTGTGAGCAAGAGAATCCCCTACATCTCTCTTTTTTTATTTCTACATCTACCAGGTGTGTGAACAGTGCTATTTACAGATGTGTTTTACACTTATGTGGTGACAATCAGCTAGGTATGCCTGTGCTCTGTCTTGAACACTCAGTAAATGCTCTGATTAGCAATGTCTCATGTAACAGCTGTGGCAAATTTGGAGAAATCATAATGTCTAAGTGGCATCTTCCCTTCCATGCAAACCCATGCAAGCCCGGTAATGTTCAGCACAAATAAGGATTCAAAATGTTCAATCATTCATACTTGTACTAGCAGTACTGCAAAAACAGCTGTCTCCAGACGTGATTTCAACAGGCAAAATGTTTCATATGAAAACATTATGTATGTCACTTCATTTTGAACCCAGCTGGATGCCACAATCCTGTGTTGATATGTTACTATCCAACTACTCATAGCAAACGACAGCATCATGTGCAGGAGCATTACAAGGTGCTCTGCATTGCTGCAGACAGACCCGTGGAAGCCACTGATACTAAGGTAGTATTTCCTGTCTTTGCCCGTTTTGCAGACCACTTAAAAATTCAGTTATGTCATGCTCTTCATTCCTATATAGAAATAAATATAATCTCCCCTCCTACTAACCTACTTTTTCTTCCCCCTGCTGCATGCGTTCCAGTCATTCTATCTGATAAAAGCCAAACTCTAATTAAGAATAATTAATTTTTTTCAGCACGTATGTGCATGCACACATGTACATCTGCTCATACCTGCTCTGTCTACTTCTAAATGCAAGTTATTGAGTGCTCTGGAGTAAGGAGTTATAAGAATAAGGCAAGGACAACTTGTTCACCTCTCTGCCCTTTTTATACTGCTGGTGTTTATTTTTGTCATATTGGCCTTGATGTGATATTCAGCTGACACAACTATGTTTCCGATCAGCAATCTCAAATGTAGTGAAACTTGAACTGAAACCTCAAGAAGTTGTGTAATACTTACTGTTCAAAGAAAGCTAACTTTTTAGATCGTTTTCAGATGGATTAGCTACAAATAATTCTGATGTGTTCTCCTTCAACAATAGAGAGTGTAAAGTGCTTTTAGCACAGCCAAGAAGTTAGGTTTAAAATAGCTCAGTATGGGGAGGGATGGCATCTTAATTTAGGCAAATGTTAGGGTGGCTGAAGCACTTTACAAGTGTTTTCTGATTTTCAGGTTTTCCTAATTCCAGCCTCTACCCAGTCTAAATTTACTTGCCATTTTATTCAAGAGGTGAAGAGTATAATTTGCCAGATGTTATTTATAATCTGCAGGCATTTGATTTCCTACTGTTCCCTGTGAATTACAAAGGCAAGCTCAGAGGAGACCCCCGTTCCCACAGTTCAAGTGCAGGCTGGCAGGGAGAGGGGCGCAGGAAACCGGAGCCTGGGAGCACGGCACAGGCATACCCTCACGCTGTGCCAGAGTACCCACCCTGCCCGGGCAGCCCCACGTCGCCTACCTTCTCCTCTCCTTCCTGCCACTCGCACCAAAGGTGAACCTGATCTCAGTTCAGATGAGTTACTTCTTATTTTTAGAAGAGTGTGTGAGTGGAAAATTATGATGTTGGAAGTTTTATAGAAGGAAAACAAAGGAGGAAATTCTATTTAATAATACACATTGCCTCTAAGTAATAGGCGCTGAACTAAAGTAACTAGTCCTTGACTTGTGACCATTTGACTAGGAATACCTCTGCGCTCTGTAAGCAGTAAGTGTTTAAGTGCAGGCAGAGGGGATGCTCCAGAACTATGTATCTGGAGTAACCTGAGTTATACCATCAGTTACAATAATTCAGAAAGAAATAGTATTTTTTAATCCAGTAACTGTGTGTTTGCCAGGGCATCTCTTAGTGATTACACTTGATACAGTTTGATATCAGGTGCTAATGAGTGCTTGGATAAATAATTAACACGGAATGTCAGCTACTGCAGGCATAAACTAGGATGAGATGTCAAGTATTTGGCAAACTGCAGGAGGACTCTTCCCAAAAAAACATTTGCAACAGGTAAAGTCAAGAGAGCAGTACTAAGAAAATGACAGGTATTCCATACGATATGCTAAGTCAGGGTACAGGTGTGGAAAAGCTCCTAGGTCACACTATACCATTTTGAAGAGCAGTGAGCGAAGAAGCAAATGAGCAGAAACAAGTATTGAGTCAAAATCTTGCAATTTCACATCCCAGCTGTAGGACATCCTGGCCTGTGTTGTGCTTCATTCTTACTTTTGTTTTAATGAAAGATGACAGAAAATCCAGCATTGGTGTTTTCATGAAGCAGAATGAATGTTCTAGGCTTTCACTCTGAGGTTTCTGTCACCACTGCGCATTAGCATGGGGTTAAATAAAAAAGAGCCGCTGGAACAACATGAAAAAGGAGTGATGACAAGCAAAGTACATGTTAGATATCATACAAAAAGAAGGACAGTAAGAATAACCAATAAACTTGGAAGCCACAGCATCAAATCCTGGACAAATATTTATATGCGTGTATACAAAAGAGTGTTTTACACAGCTGGGAAGCAGGAAAGATCTTGTTTTTCAATTTTCTTGTTTTTTGACCTTTGAACCATCACATGA